CTCTTTCTTGCCTGATTTGTGTTGCCTGGTCCAATAATTCATTTAATTCTGTGAGGCAAGACTTGCCATCCCTGAATCCATGCTGATGTTGAGTTACAAAGTTCTTTCGCTCCAGATGTTCTACTAACTTTTTTTGCACAATCTTCTCCATCAACTTGCATGGTATGCAAGTTAGGGACACTGACCTGTAGTTCAGGGCCTCCTGTCTTTCCCCTTTCTTGTATATCGGGACTACATTATCAGTCTTCAAAATTGTTGGCAGTTCACCTGTTACCAGTGATTTTTTATATAGTGTGGAGAGTGGACACGGCTTCTGCACCTTCCTTTAGTATCCATAGTGAGATCCCACCCGGGCCTATAGCCTTTGTCACATCCAACTCAAGCAAAATCTTCCTTACATCCCCACTGGTAATCCCAAAATCTTCTAGTGGTGCCTGGTTAGCCATGCCTTCTCTTATCTCTGGAACTTCTTGCTCTAATGTGAAGACCTCCTGGAATTTCTTATTCAGAAATTGAATAATTTCTGCTGTGTGTGTGTGTGTGTGTGCGTGTGCATGCGCGTGCGTGTGGACAGCGTGTGAGTGGAAGGGTCGCCGGCCACCACCACCACTACCTCAGCTTCGTGGAGAACATCGGTGCCGAATATGTGTGTGTTGCGCTCCTTGCCCCAGCCGATGATGGTGCAGGTGTCGCCGACCGGCAGCGTGGCGCCCTGCTCCGGCAGGCAGACGGGGGCGATGCGGGCGCCAGACTCCACCGCCTCGGGCAGCTGCAGCAGCGCCACGTCGTTGTCCACGGTCGTCGGGTCGTACTGCGGGTGTACGACCGTCCGCGCCACCTGCCGACGGCACAGAGGCGTCACACAGTGTAGCATGATGAGAGGGTCACACATTGTGGCATGATGAGAGCGTCACACAGTGTAGCATGATGAGAGGGTCATACATTGTGGAATGATCAGAGGGTCACACAGTGTGGCATGATGAGAGGGTCACACATTGTGGCATGATGAGAGCGTCACACAGTGTGGCATGATGAGAGGGTCACACAGTGTGGTATGATGAGAGGGTCATACATTGTGGCATGATGAGAGGGTCACACAGTGTGGCATGATGAGAGGGTCACACATTGTGGCATGATGAGAGCGTCACACAGTGTGGCATGATGAGAGGGTCAAACAGTGTGGCATGATGAGAGGGTCACAAAGTGTGGCATGATGAGAGGGTCATACATTGTGGCATGATGAGAGGGTCACACAGTGTGGCATGATGAGAGGGTCACACAGTGTGGCATGATGAGAGGGTCACACATTGTGGCATGATGAGAGCGTCACACAGTGTGGCATGATGAGAGGGTCAAACAGTGTGGCATGATGAGAGGGTCACACAGTGTGGCATGATGAGAGGGTCATACATTGTGGCATGATGAGAGCGTCACACAGTGTGGCATGATGAGAGGGTCAAACAGTGTGGCATGATGAGAGAGTCAAACAGTGTGGCATGATGAGAGGGTCATACATTGTGGCATGATGAGAGGGTCATACATTGTGGCATGATGAGAGGGTCACACAGTGTGGCATGATGAGAGGGTCACACATTGTGGCATGATGAGAGCGTCACACAGTGTGGCATGATGAGAGCGTCACACAGTGTGGCATGATGAGAGGGTCATACATTGTGGCATGATGAGAGGGTCAAACAGTGTGGCATGATGAGAGGGTCATACATTGTGGCATGATGAGAGGGTCACACAGTGTGGCATGATGAGAGGGTCAAACAGTGTGGCATGATGAGAGGGTCACACAGTGTGGCATAATGAGAGCGTCACACAGTGTGGCATGATGAGAGGGTCATACATTGTGGCATGATGAGAGGGTCATACATTGTGGCATGATGAGAGGGTCATACATTGTGGAATGATCAGAGGGTCATACATTGTGGAATGATCAGAGGGTCACACATTGTGGAATGATCAGAGGGTCACACATTGTGGAATGATCAGAGGGTCATACATTGTGGAATGATCAGAGGGTCATACATTGTGGAATGATCAGAGGGTCATACATTGTGGAATGCTCAGAGGGTCATACATTGTGGAATGATCAGAGGGTCATACATTGTGGAATGATCAGAGGGTCATACATTGTGGAATGATCAGAGGGTCATACATTGTGGAATGCTCAGAGGGTCATACATTGTGGCATGATGAGAAGGTCATATATTGTGGAATGATGAGAGGGTCACACATTGTGGAATGATCACGACTATAGACATTGTAGTCTGACCTCCAAATCTGGTCTATCCCACCTTGCAGGGACACGTGCCTCACCTGACGTGCTGCGACACGTGCCTCACCTGACGTGCTGCGACACGTGCCTCACCTGACGTGCAGCGACACGTACCTTGTACTCCCGCTCGGGTCCCTCCCTGACGGCCAGGTCGTGCTCTCCGAGACGCACGTACAGCTTCCTCCTGACGCAGTGGGCCGCCGTCAGCACCCAGCGAGAGGCCACCAGCGTCCCCCCACAGAACGCCTCCTGCAACACCAGACACGTCACCACCATACACGTCACCACCATACACGTCACCACCACACACGTCACCACCACACACGTCACCACCATACACGCCACCACCATACACGTCACCACCATACTCGTCACCACCATACACGCCACCACCATACACGTCACCACCATACTCGTCACCACCATACACGCCACCACCATACACGTCACCACCATACTCGTCACCACCATACACGTCACCACCATACTCGTCACCACCATACACGTCAACACCAGACACGCCACCACCATACACGTCACCACCATACACGTCACCACCATACACGTCACCACCACACACGTCACCACCATACACGCCACCACCATACACGTCACCACCATACTCGTCACCACCATACTCGTCACCACCATACACGTCACCACCATACACGCCACCACCATACACGTCACCACCATACACGTCACCACCATACTCGTCACCACCATACACGCCACCACCATACACGTCACCACCATACTCGTCACCACCATACACGCCACCACCATACACGTCATCACCATACTCGTCACCACCATACACGTCACCACCATACTCGTCACCACCATACACGTCAACACCAGACACGCCACCACCATACACGTCACCACCATACACGTCACCACCATACACGTCACCACCATACACGTCACCACCATACACGTCACCACCACACACGTCACCACCATACACGTCACCACCATACTCGTCACCACCAGACACGTCACCACCATACTCGTCACCACCATACACGTCACCACCATACACGTCACCACCATACACGTCACCACCATACACGTCACCACCATACTCGTCACCACCATACACGTCAGGATAGTTACACCCGGGACCAATGGAACTTTCCCAAGAAATGTTAAACAGAGAAACTTATTAATTCAACCACTGCCACCATCCTGCCTGACCATTAGGTATATCAAGCAATGAGGCATGAAGCATTTATTATTATTTTCTACCACAGACGTGCATTGCTTGGATATTGAGCGTTCTCCTCTAGATATTTTTACTTAATGACCGGTTGTTAACAAAACTGAGCTCAGAGGATAAGAGGTTCAATGTCCTTGCCCAATGGACGAATCACTTCCAAAACAACACACCCTGGACGCAAACACAGTGGCCTCCTTACCAGAGCCTCAGATATTAACACCAAGTAAGGCTTCCAGCACTTCCACTAACACGATAACATCATTTATATTTGCCAACATCCAGGGTATAAAAACACGCAAATCCAACAAAGTTCACTTTATAGATGGCGTCCTTCATGAGGCAAATGCAGTGTTTGCAGCCCTAACAGAAACCCACACAAAGGACTACCATGATGGTGAAATATGGATCTCAGAGTACAATCTTTTCAGATGTGATAGGAAACACCGGCTTCAGGGTGGGGTCAGCCTCTACATCAAAGACACACTCATCTGTACTGAGCTGCTAAACACCTCAAATGATATGGTGGAAGTGCTGATAATCAAGATAGAGATTCTAAATGTAGTTATTGTCCTTGTATATAAGTCATCGGAGGCAAACCCTCAGCAGTTTAAAGACCAACTAATGAAAATAGAACACTGCTTGGAAAACCTCACAAATCCAGCTCCGAACATCATTCTGCTTGGGGACTTCAACCTACGGCACCTGAAATGGAAGCACCTGGCTAATACAGTAATATCAGAAAGAATACCAGGAAGTAGCCTAAATGAACAGGCACATGCAAATGACCTGCTACGGTTGTGCGATAGGTTTGCCTTAAACCAGCAAATAGTAAAACCAACTAGGAAGGAGAACACGCTGGACCTCATTTTCACTAATAATGATGAGTTGATCGGGAACATAATGATTACAAATACCTGTTACTCAGATCACAACTTAATTGAAGTTCTGACAACCATGGGAAGTACACCTTCAAAACCAGTCCAGATTCCCGGTGGAGGAGATTTCAACAAATTCAACTTCAATAATAAACAGATAAACTGGGAGCAAATAAACCAGGACTTCACAGAAATAAACTGGGAAGAACAGCTAGAAAATGCAAACCTGAACCAGTGCCTGGAAAAAATAAGCTCAGTAGCACTAGAAATATGTTCAAACCGCATACCCCTAAGAAAAAAGAGGAAGAGATGCAGATTGGAACGTGAACGTCGTTCCTTCTATAGGCGAAGAAAACGAATCGCGGAACAACTTGAGAGTCTCACCCTATCTCAAGAACGGCGAAGAAGGTTAGGTAGAGAAATAGAAACAATTGAACTCAAGCTACAAGAATTATACAAAACCCAGAAGAGGCAAAGAGAGCAAAAGGCCATCAGTGAAATAGAGAGAAATCCGAAATATTTTTTCTCCTATGCAAAATCAAGATCAAAAACCACATCTAGTATCGGGCCCCTGCGAAAGGGAGATGGAACTTTCACCGATGACAACAAAGAAATGAGCGAGCTACTGAGGAAGCAGTACGACTTTGTTTTCAGCGAGCCATTAAACACACTAAAGATTGATAACCCAAATGAATTTTTCATGGATATGATACCAACATCAAATCATATATCAGACGTCACCCTATCCACACTGGATTTTGAAGAAGCCATAAACAGTATGCCTATGCACTCTGCACCAGGCCCGGATTCGTGGAACTCCATATTCATAAAGAACTTTAAAAAACCACTATCGCAGACCCCTCCACATTCTGTGGAGACAAAGCCTAGATACTGGCGTTATTCCTGATATACTAAAAAGAGCAGAGATAGCACCACTTCATAAAGGAGGAAATAAGGCAGAGGCAAAAAATTACAGACCGATAGCACTAACATCGCACATCATAAAAATTTTTGAGAGAGTGCTAAGAAGTAAGATCACAAAATACACGGAATCACAGCATCTCCATAATCCCGGACAACATGGTTGGAAGGGGCAGGGCACCGGGGTAAGGGGCAGAGCACCGGGGTAAGGGGCAGGGCACCGGGGTAAGGGGCAGGGCACCGGGGTAAGGGGCAGGGCACCGGGGTAAGGGGCAGAGCACCGGGGTAAGGGGCAGGGCACCGGGGTAAGGGGCAGGGCACCGGGGTAAGGGGCAGAGCACCGGGGTAAGGGGCAGGGCACCGGGGAAAGGGGCAGGGCACCGGGGTAAGGGGCAGGGCACCGGGGTAAGGGGCAGAGCACCGGGGTAAGGGGCAGAGCACCGGGGTAAGGGGCAGGGCACCGGGGTAAGGGGCAGAGCACCGGGGTAAGGGGCAGGGCACCGGGGTAAGGGGCAGGGCACCGGGGTAAGGGGCAGGGCACCGGGGTAAGGGGCAGGGCACCGGGGTAAGGGGCAGAGCACCGGGGTAAGGGGCAGAGCACCGGGGTAAGGGGCAGGGCACCGGGGTAAGGGGCAGGGCACCGGGGTAAGGGGCAGGGCACCGGGGTAAGGGGCAAAGCACCGGGGTAAGGGGCAGAGCACCGGGGTAAGGGGCAGGGCACCGGGGTAAGGGGCAGGGCAGCAGGGTAAGGGGCAGGGCACCGGGGTAAGGGGCAGAGCACCGGGGTAAGGGGCAGGGCACCGGGGTAAGGGGCAGGGCACCGGGGTAAGGGGCAGGGCACCGGGGTAAGGGGCAGGGCACCAGGGTAAGGGGCAGGGCACCAGGGTAAGGGGCAGGGCACCAGGGTAAGGGGCAGGGCACCGGGGTAAGGGGCAGGGCACAAGGGTAAGGGGCAGGGCACCGGGGTAAGGGGCATTCTCACGTGGTAACGGTTGAGAATGACAGCCTGCCAGGGCCACTCTCCAGGCTGCGCAGTCCGGCCGCCGATGATGCGCAGACTCCAGCCTGGCGTGGTGACGTTGCTCACGCCACATTCCCGGGGCAGCGTCCGCTCCGACGACGACAACGACGACGACGATGACGACGACGGCGACGACGACACGGATATCGTGGAAGAATACGCTGAACCAGAAGATGTAGTCTCGTTGTCGTCCTCGCCTGTAGGAGGAGAGTGGAGTAGCATCAACTGGGCCTGGGGCTACAATATACTTACTGGTTCTCTCTCAAAGTGTTGGAAGCGCAAGTAGTTTATGAGTGTTTATAAGTGAGGTGAAGGGGTTTGTTAGCACTTCCTGGATGACAACTTTATCAGAGGGTCACAGGTCTTTATTATTATTTTTATTATTATTTTCTACACAGACGTGGCCACACATTTACAATGCTAACCAAAATATATATATTTTCTTCGGTCCTCCATGGACACAGTTAGAGATTTGTTAAACATATAGTCCAGGAATTTATTGAACAATCAACCACAGAAGGTGATTGTAGTGCTTTTAAAATGCTAATCTAACTTACAGACATAAATACACAGGTTATGGTAGGCTATCATTGGGCGGCATTCCATAAAGGCTTCGGGTGGTGAGCGGAAGCAAGTGGGCACGGGCCTGTCAGTGACAGGGTCACGGGCCGGTCTGTGACACAGGGAAGCAGCACCTGTGTGACACAGGGAAGCAGCACCTGTGTGACACAGGGAAGCAGCACCTGTGTGACACAGGGAAGCAGCACCTGTGTGACACAGGGAAGCAGCACCTGTGTGACACAGGGAAGCAGCACCTGTGTGACACAGGGAAGCAGCACCTGTGTGACACAGGGAAGCAGCACCTGTGTGATACAGGGAAGCAGCACCTGTGTGACACAGGGAAGCAGCACCTGTGTGACACAGGGAAGCAGCACCTGTGTGACACAGGGAAGCAGCACCTGTGTGACACAGGGAAGCAGCACCTGTGTGACACCGGGAAGCAGCACCTGTGTGACACCGGGAAGCAGCACCTGTGTGACACAGGGAAGCAGCACCTGTGTGACACAGGGAAGCAGCACCTGTGTGACACAGGGAAGCAGCACCTGTGTGACACAGGGAAGCAGCACCTGTGTGACACAGGGAAGCAGCACCTGTGTGACACAGGGAAGCAGCACCTGTGTGACACAGGGAAGCAGCACCTGTGTGACACAGGGAAGCAGCACCTGTGTGACACAGGGAAGCAGCACCTGTGTGACACAGGGAAGCAGCACCTGTGTGACACAGGGAAGCAGCACCTCTGTGACACCGGGAAGCAGTACCTGTGTGACACAGGGAAGCAGCACCTGTGTGACACAGGGAAGCAGCACCTGTGTGACGGATACACTACTCACCAACACCGTCGGAAGGTTTCCGTCTGCGGGAGTTGTGTCTGTTGGTGCGGTACCACTTCTCACAGAGGGAGCCCTGGATGTAGCAGTAGGCCTCCTCGTGCACCACGCTGCCTCCACAGAACAGCGGGTACTTGCACGACCTGTGGCAGGGACCTGGAGGTCAGCCCCACGCTCACCCTTATGTGTGGGGAGGGCGCAGTGGGTCGAGGACTCGGTCAAGGAATAGGTCACGGAGTGGGTCAGAAGGAAGGTCAAGGAGTGGGTCAAGAGGAAGGTCAAGGAGTAGGTCAAGACGTAGTTCGAGGAGTGAGTCAAGATGACGGTCAAGGAGTGGGTCAAGAGATAAGCCAAGGAGTGGGTCTAGGAGTGGGTCAAGATGTAGGTCAAGAGGGAAGGAGCAGCACCTGTGTGACACAGGGAAGCAGTACCAGTGCACCTGTGCACCTGTGCACTCCTCTGGTCAAGGAGTGGGGTCAAGGGGTAGTTATTAACACCATGTTGAGAGGAAAACAGTAGGTAGGAATAGTGTAAGGCACAGTAATGTACCATTATGTGTCATGATGGGTCAAAAGAGTCGGGGAGATCACAGAGGTGAATCATGAGGTGACTGGGTACTCGAGGTATACATATAGCACAAGACATATAGATACTTGACCTATATACATTCGGTATATAGCTCAAGTATCTTTTTCATATATTAAATTGATCTTCTAATGGGCTAAACGATAGATATCAGAACAAAAAGATCTAGTAAACAAGTTTATCAACAGCAGGGAAGGTGGAGAGGGCGACGGCAGGCTGCCGGGTGAAGGACCTGACCTGTATCTGCGGGTGAGGCACGACCTGCTGCAGGACGACCAGCGCGACCACCGAGTGTAAAACATGGAGTTGAAGTTGAGGAGGACGCGCATGTCGTTCCTGGGAGGCTGACGCGAGAACTCCTCCGGCCGGATGATGTGGAATGGTCTCCGACCTGAGCACCGGCCGCCTGTGCAGCTCCGCTCCTCCTGTGGGGGTTCATAGGTCGGTGAGCGTCCTTATAACACCCAGATATCTCTGGTGAGTTAGTATCTATATCTAAATGTTGCTAACAACCTTCACGTAGTATCTATATATAAACGTCAGCAAGAACTGTCACATATGTTCGATATCCTAATGTCAGCAAGAACTTTCATGCAGTATCTATATGTAAACGTTAACAATAAACTCCATACAGTATCTATATCTAAATGTCAGCAAATTCCTTCACTTTGTATCCATATATATATATATATATATATATATATATATATATATATATATATATATATATATATATATATATATATATATATATATATATATAAGCAAGAACATTTACGTAGTATCCATATCTAAACTTCAGTAAGGAACTTCATGTGTTATCTGCATCTCAATATCAGCAAGAACCTTCACATATTATCAATATTTAAACTTAAGTAAGAACCTTCGCGTAGTATCTGACCGTCAGTAAGAAGTTATGGCTTCCAAGAAACACGTCAGAAGATGTGGAAACAACGACGATCGTTCCGTCCTGGACCAGTGAAAACAAGAAGTGTCGTCGCTGCTCCACCTTCTGGTGTGTGTTTGGTGAGCATATTTTCCGTCACGTTATTGTGACTTTGTCTCCATCAGTAAGAGGAGTTGTGACCAGCCACTGACCTTGACGGCGGTGCCACTGACCTTGAGGACGGCGGTGCCACTGACCTTGAGGACGGCGGTGCCACTGACCTTGAGGACGGCGGTGCCACTGACCTTGAGGACGGCGGTGACACTGACCTTGAGGACGGCGGTGACACAGACCTTGAGGACGGCGGTGACACTGACCTTGAGGACGGCGGTGACACTGACCTTGAAGACGGCGGTGACACTGACCTTGAGGACGGCGGTGACACTGACCTTGAGGACGGCGGTGACACTGACCTTGAGGACGGCGGTGACACTGACCTTGAGGACGGCGGTGACACTGACCTTGAGGACGGCGGTGACACTGACCTTGAGGACGGCGGTGACACAGACCTTGAGGACGGCGGTGACACAGACCTTGAGGACGGCGGTGACACAGACCTTGAGGACGGCGGTGACACAGACCTTGAGGACGGCGGTGACACTGACCTTGAGGACGGCGGTGACACTGACCTTGAGGACGGCGGTGACACTGACCTTGAGGACGGCGGTGACACTGACCTTGAGGACGGCGGTGACACAGACCTTGAGGACGGCGGTGACACTGACCTTGAGGACGGCGGTGACACTGACCTTGAGGACGGCGGTGACACTGACCTTGAAGACGGCGGTGACACTGACCTTGAGGACGGCGGTGACACTGACCTTGAGGACGGCGGTGCCACTGACCTTGAGGACGGCGGTGACACTGACCTTGAGGACGGCGGTGACACAGACCTTGAGGACGGCGGTGACACTGACCTTGAGGACGGCGGTGACACTGACCTTGAAGACGGCGGTGACACTGACCTTGAGGACGGCGGTGACACTGACCTTGAGGACGGCGGTGACACTGACCTTGAGGACGGCGGTGACACTGACCTTGAGGACGGCGGTGACACAGACCTTGAGGACGGTGGTGACACAGACCTTGAGGACGGCGGTGACGCAGACCTTGAGGACGGCGGTGACACAGACCTTGAGGACGGCGGTGACGCAGACCTTGAGGACGGCGGTGACACAGACCTTGAGGACGGCGGTGACACTGACCTTGAGGACGGCGGTGACACTGACCTTGAGGACGGCGGTGACACTGACCTTGAGGACGGCGGTGACACTGGCCTTGAGGACGGCGGTGACACAGACCTTGAGGACGGCGGTGACACTGACCTTGAGGACGGCGGTGCCACTGACCTTGATGACGGCGGTGCCACTGACCTTGAGGACGGCGGTGCCACTGACCTTGATGACGGCGGTGACACTGACCTTGATGACGGCGGTGACACTGACCTTGAGGACGGCGGTGCCACTGACCTTGATGACGGCGGTGACACTGACCTTGATGACGGCGGTGACACTGACCTTGAGGACGGCGGTGCCACTGACCTTGATGACGGCGGTGACACTGACCTTGAGGACGGCGGTGACACTGACCTTGATGACGGCGGTGCCACTGACCTTGAGGACGGCGGTGCCACTGACCTTGAGGACGGCGGTGCCACTGACCTTGAGGACGGCGGTGACACTGACCTTGATTGTAACACGGGTTAGGGTTTCTCTCTCTTTACTTCTCTTTCCTCTACCCGTATTCTTACTTTTTATTCTCTACCAAGGGACTCCAAAACTTTTACCAAAGCCAACTCCACGCCACGTGGTCCTAAGACGATTGACCGACTTAGGATTCTACACCCAGTATGACGTGACCTAGGCTCTGAGCAAAACCCTAGAGTCGCCTCTACGCTGCCACCACCAGACCAGCAACACAGAGCAATGATCGAGGTCTGGATCGATCACGCTAATTAATCAACCTTGGGGCTTGATCCCCACTAGTAGTTTATAACCTCGGAAACTTGAGTGTGGAATTAATTACACGGGAATGATTCGATGTTAGAATCGGCGCCCAATCCAACTCTGCCTCGTGTGGACCACGTGACCAGGACAAGTTTACACATAAAACACATGGAAATAATGAAATGCAAAATATTAACAAATTTAATTTATTAAAAGAAAACTAAAACAAAATCTAAATATGTTCACTCCCTATCACTTTAACACTCCCTACTTGACCTGAGTGGCAAATGAGAAGACTATCCCTATAATTAACAATAGCAACTATACCTTGGGCGACCTGCTCTAGATGTTGGGCTGGTCTTGGGGAGAGGTAAGATGTTTGACCTCTTATCCCAGCTGCTCCCGTTTCCACACTGCTTTCTTCCTTGTCTGGTCTACCCCAGACAGAACATTGTATCCTTCCGCCTAGTCAAAGTTTTACCAAGTTACTAGCCAGGTTTAAGTTATAACAATTAACCTCTGTTGTACTTAATTGATCCAGACTGGTTGAATTATTTTAATGAAATTAAATTACACAAGCCTCTAACGGCAGAGCTGTTCCCGATCACAAAAATGGTTATTAAAACTTTGAGAAATAGTAGACCTGTCAACCCCTGATGACCTATGACCGCCGGTCACTCCGCCTTACAAGTTAGATCTGATTCGTGACGTCACTGATGGTGACTTAAACTCAATAATTAGAATACTCTTGATATTGTATCCAGTACTATTATACAATACAATTTTAATGCAAAATGAATAAAGGCTAATTTTCTCTAAATTACTGAATACTATAGGATGGTTCATTATACGCAGCTATGAACAAAGCGTCGGTTATTTCCACCGCGAATTCCCCTGGGGGTCAGGTCACCATGCGGGCTCAGCTTCCCATTCTCTTTTGTCGATAAACCACTCTGGATAATTCTTACAACAGCCTAGTTTGTTACAACCCCCCCCGCACAAGCACTTAGTAAACCTTGTTAATTTGTTAAAATTCACGAGGTTTAGTATCCAAACCCACAATTCAACTCATGCCACAAACAAAAGCTAACCTAACTAATAAAATTTGACAAATAATAGTCCAACATCATAATAAATATGTTCATATTTCATAAATTGATTGTAACAAACTAGGCTGTTGTAAGAATTATCCAGAGTGGTTTATCGACAAAAGAGAATGGGAAGCTGAGCCCGCATGGTGACCTGACCCCCAGGGGAATTCGCGGTGGAAATAACCGACGCTTTGTTCATAGCTGCGTATAATGAACCATCCTATAGTATTCAGTAATTTAGAGAAAATTAGCCTTTATTCATTTTGCATTAAAATTGTATTGTATAATAGTACTGGATACAATATCAAGAGTATTCTAATTATTGAGTTTAAGTCACCATCAGTGACGTCACGAATCAGATCTAACTTGTAAGGCGGAGTGACCGGCGGTCATAGGTCATCAGGGGTTGACAGGTCTACTATTTCTCAAAGTTTTAATAACCATTTTTGTGATCGGGAACAGCTCTGCCGTTAGAGGCTTGTGTAATTTAATTTCATTAAAATAATTCAACCAGTCTGGATCAATTAAGTACAACAGAGGTTAATTGTTATAACTTAAACCTGGCTAGTAACTTGGTAAAACTTTGACTAGGCGGAAGGATACAATGTTCTGTCTGGGGTAGACCAGACAAGGAAGAAAGCAGTGTGGAAACGGGAGCAGCTGGGATAAGAGGTCAAACATCTTACCTCTCCCCAAGACCAGCCCAACATCTAGAGCAGGTCGCCCAAGGTATAGTTGCTATTGTTAATTATAGGGATAGTCTTCTCATTTGCCACTCAGGTCAAGTAGGGAGTGTTAAAGTGATAGGGAGTGAACATATTTAGATTTTGTTTTAGTTTTCTTTTAATAAATTAAATTTGTTAATATTTTGCATTTCATTATTTCCATGTGTTTTATGTGTAAACTTGTCCTGGTCACGTGGTCCACACGAGGCAGAGTTGGATTGGGCGCCGATTCTAACATCGAATCATTCCCGTGTAATTAATTCCACACTCAAGTTTCCGAGGTTATAAACTACTAGTGGGGATCAAGCCCCAAGGTTGATTAATTAGCGTGATCGATCCAGACCTCGATCATTGCTCTGTGTTGCTGGTCTGGTGGTGGCAGCGTAGAGGCGACTGTAGGGTTTTGCTCAGAGCCTAGGTCACGTCATACTGGGTGTAAAATCCTAAGTCGGTCAATCGTCTTAGGACCACGTGGCGTGGAGTTGGCTTTGGTAAAAGTTTTGGAGTCCCTTGGTAGAGAATAAAAAGTAAGAATACGGGTAGAGGGGCAAAGAAGGAAGTGAAGTAAAGAGAGAGTAACCCAAACCCGTGTTACATGATGACGGCGGTGACACTGACCTTGAGGACGGCGGTGACACTGACCTTGAGGACGGTGGTGCCACTGACCTTGAGGACGGCGGTGCCACTGACCTTGAGGACGGCGGTGCCACTGACCTTGAGGACGGCGGTGCCACAGACCTTGACGGCGGTGCCACTGACCTTGAGGACGGCGGTGACACTGACCTTGAGGACGGCGGTGCCACTGACCTTGAGGACGGCGGTGCCACTGACCTTGAGGACGGCGGTGCCACTGACCTTGAGGACGGTGGTGCCACTGACCTTGAGGACGGCGGTGCCACAGACCTTGACGGCGGTGCCACTGACCTTGAGGACGGCGGTGACACTGACCTTGAGGACGGCGGTGCCACTGACCTTGAGGACGGCAGTGACACTGACCTTGAGGACGGCGGCGCCACTGACCTTGAGGACGGCGGTGACACTGACCTTAAGGACGGCGGTGCCACTGACCTTGATGACGGCGGTGCCACTGACCTTGAGGACGGCGGTGACACTGACCTTGAGGACGGCGGTGCCACTGACCTTGAGGACGGCGGTGCCACTGACCTTGATGACGACGGTACCACTGACCTTGATGACGGCGGTGCCACAGACCTTGACGGCGGTGCCACTGACCTTGAGGACGGCGGTGCCACTGACCTTGATGATGGCGGTGCCACTGACCTTGATGACGGCGGTGACACTGACCTTGAGGACGGCGGTGCCACTGACCTTGAGGACGGCGGTGCCACTGACCTTGAGGACGGCAGTGACACTGACCTTGAGGACGGCGGTGACACTGACCTTGAGGACGGCGGTGACACAGACCTTGAGGACGGCGGTGACACTGACCTTGAGGACGGCGGTGCCACTGACCTTGATGACGGCGGTGTCACTGACCTTGAGGACGGCGGTGCCACTGACCTTGATGACGGCGGTGCCACTGACCTTGAGGACGGCGGTGACACTGACCTTGAGGACGGCGGTGACACTGACCTTGAGGACGGCGGTGCCACTGACCTTGATGACGGCGGTGCCACAGACCTTGACGGCGGTGCCACAGACCTTGACGGCGGTGCCACAGACCTTGACGGCGGTGCCACTGACCTTGAGGACGGCGGTGCCACAGACCTTGATGACGGCGGTGCCACTGACCTTGAGGACGGCAGTGCCACAGACCTTGATGACGGCGGTGCCACAGACCTTGACGGCGGTGCCACTGACCTTGAGGACGGCGGTGCCACTGACCTTGATGACGGCGGTGCCACTGACCTTGAGGACGGCGGTGCCACTGACCTTGATGACGGCGGTGACACTGACCTTGAGGACGGCGGTGACACTGACCTTGAGGACGGCGGTGCCACTGACCTTGAGGACGGCGGTGCCACTGACCATGAGGACGGCGGTGCCACTGACCTTGATGACGGCGGTGTCACTGACCTTGATGACGGCGGTGACACTGACCTTGAGGACGGCGGTGACACTGACCTTGAGGACAGCGGTGCCACTGACCTTGAGGACGGCGGTGCCACTGACCTTGAGGACGGCGGTGCCACTGACCTTGATGACGGCGGTACCACTGACCTTGATGACGGCGGTGCCACAGACCTTGACGGCGGTGCCACTGACCTTGAGGACGGCGGTGCCACTGACCTTGATGACGGCGGTGCCACTGACCTTGATGACGGCGGTGACACTGACCTTGAGGACTGCGGTGCCACTGACCTTGAGGACGGCGGTGCCACTGACCTTGAGGACGGCGGTGACACTGACCTTGAGGACGGCGGTGCCACTGACCTTGAGGACGGCGGTGACACTGACCTTGAGGACGGAGGTGACACTGACCTTGAGGACGGCGGTGACACTGACCTTGAGGACGGCGGTGACACTGACCTTGATGACGGCGGTGACACTGACCTTGAGGACGGCGGTGACACTGACCTTGATGACGGCGGTGACACTGACCTTGATGACGGCGGTGACACTGACCTTGAGGACGGCGGTGACACTGACCTTGATGACGGCGGTGACACTGACCTTGATGACGGCGGTGACACTGTCCTTGAGGACGGCGGTGCCACTGACCTTGATGACGGCGGTGACACTGACCTTGATGACGGCGGTGACACTGACCTTGAGGACGGCGGTGCCACTGACCTTGATGACGGCGGTGACACTGACCTTGATGACGGCGGTGACACTGACCTTGAGGACGGCGGTGCCACTGACCTTGATGACGGCGGTGACACTGACCTTGAGGACGGCGGTGACACTGACCTTGATGACGGCGGTGCCACTGACCTTGAGGACGGCGGTGCCACTGACCTTGAGGACGGCGGTGACACTGACCTTGATGACGGCGGTGACACTGACCTTGATGACGGCGGTGACACTGACCTTGAGGACGGCGGTGACACTGACCTTGATGACGGCGGTGACACTGTCCTTGAGGACGGCGGTGCCACTGACCTTGATGACGGCGGTGACACTGACCTTGATGACGGCGGTGACACTGACCTTGAGGACGGCGGTGCCACTGACCTTGATGACGGCGGTGACACTGACCTTGATGACGGCGGTGACACTGACCTTGAGGACGGCGGTGCCACTGACCTTGATGACGGCGGTGACACTGACCTTGAGGACGGCGGTGACACTGACCTTGATGACGGCGGTGCCACTGACCTTGCGGACGGCGGTGCCACTGACCTTGAGGACGGCGGTGCCACTGACCTTGAGGACGGCGGTGACACTGACCTTGATGACGGCGGTGACACTGACCTTGAGGACGGTGGTGCCACTGACCTTGAGGACGGCGGTGCCACTGACCTTGAGGACGGCGGTGCCACTGACCTTGAGGACGGCGGTGCCACAGACCTTGACGGCGGTGCCACTGACCTTGAGGACGGCGGTGACACTGACCTTGAGGACGGCGGTGCCACTGACATTGAGGACGGCGGTGACACTGACCTTTAGGACGGCGGTGACACTGACCTTGAGGACGGCGGTGACACTGACCTTGAGGACGGCGGTGACACTGACCTTGAGGACGGCGGTGCCACTGACCTTGAGGACGGCGGTGACACTGACCTTAAGGACGGCGGTGCCACTGACCTTTAGGACGGCGGTGACACTGACCTTGAGGACGGCGGTGCCACTGACCTTGAGGACGGCGGTGCCACTGACCTTGAGGACGGCGGTGACACTGACCTTGAGGACGGCGGTGACACTGACCTTGAGGACGGCGGTGACACTGACCTTGAGGACGGCGGTGACACTGACCTTGAGGACGGCGGTGACACTGACCTTGAGGACGGCGGTGACACTGACCTTGAGGACGGCGGTGCCACAGACCGCAGGGACGCGACAAGACCTCCGTCGACGTTGTTTACACCGCCTGGAGCAGCGCGACCAGCTGGTCCAGTCGGTGTAGAGGCCGCCGCCCAGCTCCGCCAGGTGCTGGTGGATGCTGTTGCTCGACGACCCCAACCCGACCAGCTTGGCGCCACCACCTGCAACCCCACAACAGTCACCCACTGTTATAACCTGTCACCCACCGTTATAACCTGTCACCCACTGTTATAACCAGTCACCCACTGTTATAACCTGTCACCCACTGTTATAACCAGTCACCCACTGTTATAACCTGTCACCCACTGTTATAACCTGTCACCCACTGTTATAACCTGTCACCCACTGTTATAACCAGTCACCCACTGTTATAACCAGTCACCCACTGTTATAACCAGTCACCCACTGTTATAACCTGTCACCCACTGTTATAACCTGTCACCCACTGTTATAACCAGTCACCCACTGTTATAACCTGTCACCCACTGTTATAACCTGTCACCCACTGTTATAACCAGTCACCCACTGTTATAACCAGTCACCCACTGTTATAACCTGTCACCCACTGTTATAACCAGTCACCCACTGTTATAACCTGTCACCCACTGTTGTAACCTGTCACCCACTGTTATAACCTGTCACCCACTGTTGTAACCTGTCACCCACTGTTATAACCTGTCACCCACTGTTATAACCAGTCACCCACTGTTATAACCTGTCACCCACTGTTATAACCAGTCACCCACTGTTGTAACCTGTCACCCACTGTTGTAACCTGTCACCCACTGTTATAACCTGTCACCCACTGTTATAACCTGTCACCCACTGTTATAACCTGTCACCCACTGTTGTAACCTGTCACCCACTGTTGTAACCAGTCACCCACTGTTATAACCTGTCACCCACTGTTATAACCTGTCACCCACTGTTGTAACCTGTCACCCACTGTTATAACCAGTCACCCACTGTTATAACCTGTCACCCACTGTTGTAACCTGTCACCCACTGTTGTAACCTGTCACCCACTGTTATAACCAGTCACCCACTGTTATAACCTGTCACCCACTGTTGTAACCTGTCACCCACTGTTATAACCTGTCACCCACTGTTATAACCAGTCACCCACTGTTATAACCTGTCACCCACTGTTGTAACCAGTCACCCACTGTTATAACCTGTCACCCACTGTTGTAACCTGTCACCCACTGTTATAACCTGTCACCCACTGTTATAACCTGTCACCCACTGTTATAACCTGTCACCCACTGTTATAACCTGTCACCCACTGTTGTAACCTGTCACCCACTGTTATAACCTGTCACCCACTGTTATAACCAGTCACCCACTGTTGTAACCTGTCACCCACTGTTATAACCAGTCACCCACTGTTATAACCAGTCACCCACTGTTATAACCTGTCACCCACTGTTATAACCTGTCACCCACTGTTATAACCTGTCACCCACTGTTATAACCTGTCACCCACTGTTATAACCTGTCACCCACTGTTATAACCAGTCACCCACTGTTATAACCTGTCACCCACTGTTATAACCTGTCACCCACTGTTATAACCAGTCACTGTTATAACCTGTCACCCACTGTTATAACCTGTCACTCACTGTTATAACCAGTTCATTATCCCACACATTAACATCCAAGACAAAACTCTGCCCATGTACCCAGCTGCTCAGGTTACCATGAAGGATAAGTTATCCAATTGTTACCAGGAGGTTAAATTACAGCCAGGAAGTTACATACTAAGGATAAGATATTTTTTAAAATACCTGTGATAATAAGTGGGCCATGTGTTAGGTGGGTGAGTGGGCGCCAGGGTAGGGGAGTGGGCGCCAGGGTAGGGGAGTGGGCGCCAGGGTAGGGGAGTGGGCGCCAGGGTAGGGGAGTGGGCGCCAGGGTGGGTGTTTGGGCGCCAGGGTAGGGGAGTGGGCGCCAGGGTAGGGGAGTGGGCGCCAGGGTGGGTAAATAGTCATCATTGTGAGAGGGCAGGAGGGTAAGTACCTACCTCTTCCCGGGGCGTGGGCGTGGGTGTTGGCGTGGGCGTGGGTGTTGGCGTGGGCGGGGGTGTGGGCGGGGCGTCTGTGAGGTCCGTGTGGGCGTGGTCGCTGCCCTCCACTGGCGTCCCCGGCCTGTGGGAGGAGGTACAAGGTCACTACAGCATGGGGGGGACACTGGGTACTGTGGGAGGAGGTACATGGTCACTACAGCATGGCGGGGACACTGGGTACTGTGGGAGGAGGTACATGGTCACTACAGCATGGGGGAGACACTGGGTACTGTGGGAGGAGGTACAAGGTCACTACAGCATGGGGGGACACTGGGTACTGTGGGAGGAGGTACAAGGTCACTACAGCATGGGAGAGACACTAGGTACTGTGGGAGGTGATACAAGGTCACTACAGCATGGGAGAGACACTGGGTACTGTGGGAGGTGACTCATCAACCCATCCTTGTGAAATGTGGTACTTTTAGTAACTATAAGGTCGACCGTACTAGTATGTAGTGATGGATCACAATAAGCCATTTTTTGTAATATTTTTATATAGTTCTGAAAAACTAAAGCTAAAAGCCAAACTTAAATATTCCCAGGCCTAGTATAGCACACATATGTTCTATATTAGGCCTCAGAGAGCGTGCATTAGGCTTAGGATAGTTAGGTTACGGCACGGACGGCATGGTCATCTCTGCCAAAGGACAGGAGGATGACATGCAAGACACAGCGAGGTTAACGACATTATTAAGTTAAGGTTCCAGGTACCTTTATTTAATAACGTACCTGGTACCGTGGTTAAGGTACCAGGTACGCCAAGGTGCATATTGCTTCTGGCTGTCTGTCTATGGCACCCAAAACATTCACTTCACATTGGCCAGTACCCCTCCAATAATCTGCAGACCAGGCCTTATACTATGTCTACTCTTACAGCCGGGACAGACAAAGTTTCAACCAGTCCTAAGGGTTCAGGTAACACTAATCGAGCTAAGACTGGTTCGACACGTTCGACCAGCACTGGGTGTGTTCATTGTCATAAGAAAAGACATGTTGTCTGATATTGTTTTCAATTACATCCAGAGTTAAGACCAAATGCCTTAATTGTTTCCAGGGGAAGGTAAGAGGGTCATAATTCTGATACTGTGTGTATGGGCAAGCCACAGAGGCTCGCCGATTTTGACCCTTTCATGATCAGTGCTTAGGATGATTGGAGTTGTTGAAAAGTGGGGACCAGTGGTAATGTTTTGGGGGATACTGGTGCTTCACAAACATTAATTACTGCCAGTATGTTGTCAAAGGTCAAGAAGATTGACTTGAAAGATGTAATGCCAATTCAGGGTAAAGCAGGAGTAGTGTAATGTGTTCCATTTATGCAAGTGTATATTAAATCCTCGTATACTCCTGGGTTATGTACTGTTGGTGTTTGTGATACTTCACCCATTCCTGGAGTTGATATAATATTAGGAAGGACATTGCTGGGAAATTGAAAAATAGCCATTTCAATATAATGATTGCTGACCCAGGTACAGTTTTCTCAGAAGTGAGTGAGATAACTGTTATTGTGTATCCCACTTGTGCAGTCACCAGCTTCCAGGATGCTAAGTCTCAGAGTGATGTTTCCAGTTCTACGACCGGAGGGAAGGCTGGAAAACCTCCACAGGTGGACCCGGAAGTAAACTTGGCCAACACCTTCCTAGCCCATTTGGATGAGGTTAGTACAGTTGAGGACGTGATGCCCTGTGATGAAGTTATACCCCTTGATATTACCTCTCCCCCTTTTTCTGATGTTGAATCCCACACTTTGTCTCAACTCCAAAAGGTTGATCCCAGTTGTATGTTTTTCTGAGGCAGTTCCAGAGGAGGATGCTTTGGCAGAGGAGGTTGGATGCTACATCCAGGATCAGATGCTGATGAGACGATGGAGACTTAAGGTTTCTCCTTCTTAAGAGGACTGTATGAGTGTTTGTTATCCAGCTTGTTGTCCCCATAGCATAGCGTGAACAAGTCCTCACAGCGGTCCATGGCGATCCTTTAAGTGGTCACCCAGGGGTCAGTAGCATGATGTTTCAGGTAACCAAACATTTTTATTGGCCTAAAATCAAGAAAGATATTGCCAAATATTGTCGGCAGTGCTTAACCTGCCAAGTGGTGGGGAAACCCAGCCAAACTGTTCCTAGCGCTTCCCTTCATCCAATTGTTGTTCCGCGTGAACCATTTTCCCACATTCTCATTGATTGTGTAGGCCCACTTTCCCGAACCAAGTCCGTTCAAATGTAAGTAATTATGCTTATGTGCCACAACCAGATTTTCTGAAGCCTATCCTGTGCAAAATATCAGAGCTAAGACGGTCATAAATAATTTGGTGAAGTTTTGTACCTTGTTAGGACTGCGTCGTGTGATCCAGCCAGTGGAAGCAATTTCCGCTCATGTGAATTCCAACACTTCTGTTTGAGATACCACATCAAACATCAGTTTTCTAGTACTTATCATCCCCAGAGGTTAGGTGTCTTGGACACCAGACACTGAAGCAGATATTGTGGACTGTTGGCGAAGACTCTGGACACAACTGGGATGAGAACTTACCCTTTGTCCTATGTGCAGCTCGTAGCGGACTACAGCATTCCTTGGGGGTGTTCTCTATTTCAATTAATTTTGGTCATCAAGTGAGTGGCCCTATCCAGTTGCTGCGTGAGAGACTGATGGGAATTTTTCTCTCACCGAGAGACGACATTCGCTGAGCGAGATCCATTCCAAACTCATGAGATACCAGGGCGCTGCGAGAGCACATCTGGAGAAAACCCAGCTCAAGATGAAGCAGCACCATGACAAGAAGTTCAGATGTTTCAGGCCAGGTGACCTTGTTCTAGTTCTTAAAACACGAGTGGAAGCTGCTCTAGAACATCAGTTTGAAGGCCCATTTGAAGTAGCATCAAAACGTTCAGAGTTGACCAATAAAGTTCAGAGTTTGAAGGACCACTCTCAAAATTTGGTTGTGCACATCAATCGACTAAAAGCTTTTCAGGGTTCCAGACATGTGCAGTACAGGATGCAGTCACACCTGTAAATCATATAAATCATGAAGTGTCTAATCCTTCCTCTTGTTATTCGGTTTAGTGGAGATGTTGCGTCACTTGGATTAAGAAAAATGGGAGAGATGCAAACTCTGTTACACGAATATGGTTGTTTGGTTGGGGAGGTGCCTACTCAGACCCATGTCATTAGCAATGATATTCAGCTCACAGACCCGACGACTATTCGTATGCATCCCTACAGAGTGTCGCCAGAGAAGAGCGCTATTATAAGGAAGGAAGTGAAATTCCTCTTAGAACAGTGTCTCATTAAAATTAGCCAAAGTTCCTGGTGCTCGCCCTGTTTGTTGGTTCCTAAGACGGATGGGAAGTGGCGTCTTTGTACTGAGTACAGGAGACTGAATAAGGTAACTGAGGTAGATACTGTCCCCTTACCTTTACTTGAGGATTGTATCGACCAGTTAGGTCATTGTCAGTTTATTTCTAAGCTAGATCTGTCAAAAGGTTATCACCAGGTGCCCTTGACACACCGAGCAAGATACTTTAATGGCCGTTGAATAGCTGCCTTACAGTGTGTCTCTGGATGGTCATTAACATAACGTGACGCTTGTTGTTGTTGTAGCAGACTTAGTTCTTGTTGATTAATTTTGATTGCAAGTGGAGTCATGAGCGGGCACACCTGTGTTCAGGTGTGTACAGTATTCAGCCTCGCTGCAATTGACAGGCTGCTAGCTGTCTTTAGCGTGCCACTCGATGGACATTAACATAACGTAAAATATTTGTTGTAGTAGACTTTGTCCTTGTTAAATAAACTTGTTATTGTTACAGAAAACGGACTTTATGTCAGTACCTTCCACACATGTTTTACATTGAACGATTGTTCTAGTAATGTGATCTTTTAATGAAGGACGGCTTCTGGGAATTCGAAACTAGATTTCTAGCGCCACACTCAATACAAATATTGAGGTGAGAACCCGTTGGTTACTCTTCATGGTGTCTTGTCACCCGAGGAGCCGCAGCGACCCAAGTGGATGGGACTTCAACCGAGTTCGGCGGTTTGCTCCCGCCCTGCTATGGTCTCTTGCCTAAAGTACAAGCTGCACACCAACATGTTGACCAAGCAGTCCTTACTGTTAGAGGCCCACCCTTCCCTAGTGTGGGGCGGGGAACATAGAACAATCTCACATGGTCGGTGTAATATAATGTCACATAACATATGTACATAATAGTGCATCAAAGATAGACTAAGATCAGTCAACACTGCGGTACAATGACTTAAGGCATGATCACTGCCTATACCAGTCATACTGGTATATGCCGGATCATGACAGATGGTGAAGGTGTTGATACTTGTGTTGAAGATAGTGACGGTGATGATGACGACGATGGCTAAGATGGTGATGGTGACGATGATGACAATGCTAAAGACGATAATAATGAAGGTGATGACACTGATGAAGGGGAGAAGAATGAAGGTGATGAGGATGGTGAGAGTGATGATGATGATGATGATGAAGATGATGGTGATGAGAATGATAAGAGTGACGAGGATGGTGAGTGATGAAAATGATGATGAGAGTGATGTGTTGGAAATAATTTCCACCATTATACAGGTGGAAGTTGGTGGACAATAGTCTGTTGAAGGCATGAAAATATAATGAAAATTACTTTATCCACATAACCCTACAATGATGATGACGATGGTGAGAGTGATGAAGATGGTGAGAGTGATAAAGATAGTGAGTGATGGTGCAGGATAGTGAGGACCTACCTGGTGTTCCCACCAGCGTCGCCAGCTCTTCCAGGGCCGCACCTCGGAGCCGCTCCCAGCACCTCCCTGGAACACAACACCACACAGTTAGTACACGTGACGGTGATGGTGATGGTGACAGTGACGGTGATAGTGACAGTGACGGTGATAGTGACGGTGGTGGTGGTGTTGACACCTCACGGCAGCAACACCTGGTGTTACAGTCACTATGGACCAGTAACCGGGTTCTTGATGGGTGAACCTCGTTTATAATGTCCGACCCCTAGTCAGTAGTACGCGGGATAAACAATACACAGTTCCCTTCACCACTATATTTACACTTATACCTTTAAGATATAATAAATAGATTATTATTACACCTATTTACAGTGATGTCACTTTCACACAGGACACCAAAAGCGCTCACATGCAGTGTTGGCCAAGCCCAGTGTGTCCACCACCCAGTACCTCGTCCACCCGTACTGGGAAACACTGGCGAGTTCACCTTTCACGTGGGCCAGTCCCCCGACACAGTATCACGAGGTGCCTATACCCCACTATCTCTCTCCAGCCACTCGCTGGTAGAGGACTTCAGCCACACGCTGATTGGGGTCACTAACAACCGTATACAGTGGCAGCTAACTCCTGGCAGAAGCCTCTAGCAACCGGCTAGCAGCACTTCACCACAGGCGCCTCACTGTCGTCTGTTACTCTCCTAAGCCAATCCCGGGGTACGCCGATCTCTACCAACACTGTGTAGAGTAACAACTAACACACTGCTCAGATCGGCGGCAGCTTACTTAGTCATCTTCCAGGACCAAGCTCAGAGTTCGTGGACTGCCCAAGGTAAACTGCCTTCTTCAGTACGACTGCCTCCACACATCACCTCTGTGGACTTACTGGGATTCCCTCACTCTAACCCTCCCTCACTCTAACCTTTGATTCTCAGGACAGGAATACCTTGTGTAGTTTGCGGGGATCAACAGCCCCGCGGCCCAATCTTCGAACAGGCCTCCCGGTTTGTCGTCCGGGTAACCAGGCTGTTAGACGCGGCTGCTCGCAGCCTGACATATGAATCACAGCCTGGTTGATCAGGTATCCTTTGGAGGTGTTAGCAGAGTTCTCTCTTGAACACTGTGAGGAGTTGGTCAGTTATGTCCCTTATGTATAGTGGAAGCATGTTGAACAGTCTCGGGTCTCTAATGTTGATAGAGTTCTCTCTCAGAGTACCTATTGCAAATTGCCTTTCAACGGGGGTATTCTGCACATTCTGCCATGCCTCCTAGTCTCAGGTGATGATATTTCTGTGTGCAGGTTTGGGACCAGCCCCTCTAATATCTTCCACGTGTTGATTATTATGTATCTCTATCACCTGCGGTCTATAGAGAATACAGATTACGATCGTTTAATCGGTCCCAATAATTAAGATGATTTATAGAGTGGATTCTAACGGTAAAGGATCTTTACACGCTCTCTAGGTCAGCAGTTTCTCCGGCTCTGAACTGGGCTGTTAGACTGCAACAATATTAACCCTAGAGCACACTAGTGTCCATTGGTTCATTAGGTCCATGGGGGAGGTGGGTGAGACCCGTAGGTGAGGCGCCGGGCATGAGGAAGGAGGGTGAGGGGCCGGGCATGAGGAAGGATTGTGAGGGGCCGGGCATGAGGAAGGAGGGTGAGGCGCCGGGCATGAGGAAGGAGGGTGAGGCGCCGGGCATGAGGAAGGAGGGTGAGGGGCCGGGCATGAGGAAGGAGGGTGAGGGGCCGGGCATGAGGAAGGAGGGTGAGGGGCCGGGCATGAGGAAGGAGGGTGAGGCGCCGGGCATGAGGAAGGAGGGTGAGGCGCCGGGCATGAGGAAGGAGGGTGAGGCGCCGGGCATGAGGAAGGAGGGTGAGGGGCCGGGCATGAGGAAGGAGGGTGAGGGGCCGGGCATGAGGAAGGAGGGTGAGGGGCCGGGCATGAGGAAGGATTGTGAGGGGCCGGGCATGAGGAAGGAGGGTGAGGCGCCGGGCATGAGGAAGGAGGGTGAGGGGCCGGGCATGAGGAAGGAGGGTGAGGCGCCGGGCATGAGGAAGGAGGGTGAGGCGCCGGGCATGAGGAAGGAGGGTGAGGCGCCGGGCATGAGGAAGGAGGGTGAGGGGCCGGGCATGAGGAAGGAGGGTGAGGGGCCGGGCATGAGGAAGGAGGGTGAGGGGCCGGGCATGAGGAAGGAGGGTGAGGGGCCGGGCATGAGGAAGGAGGGTATGGTGTCTGTTATAATGTAAACAGAGGAACTCTGTTTACATTATAACAGAGGGAGTTTATCTGCAGGAGCTGTCTGGCGACCCAGGGCCACTGACCTCTCTGCGGGGGCGTGTCTGCGGCAGAGGCACCTGCGACAGAGGCACCTGCGACAAAGGCACCTGCGACAGAGGCACCTGCGGCAGAGGCACCTGCGGCAGAGGCACCTGCGACAGAGGCACCTGCGACAGAGGCACCTGCGGCAGAAGCACCTGCGGCAGAGGCACCTGCGGCAGAGGCACCTGCGGCAGAGGCATCTGCGACAGATGCACCTGCGACAGAGGCACCTGCGGCAGAGGCACCTGCGACAGAGGCATCTGCGACAGAGGCACCTGCGACAGAAGCACCTGCGACAGAGGCACCTGCGACAGAGGCACCTGCGACAGAGGCACCTGCGACAGAGGCATCTGCGACAGAGGCATCTGCGACAGAGGCACCTGCGACAGAGGCACCTGCGGCAGAGGCACCTGCGACAGAGGCACCTGCGACAGAGGCACCTGCGACAGAGGCACCTGCGGCAGAGACACCTGCGGCAGAGGCACCTGCGACAGAGGCACCTGCGACAGAGGCACCTGCGACAGAGGCACCTGCGGCAGAGGCACCTGCGGCAGAGGCACCTGCGACAGAGGCACCTGCGACAGAGGCACCTGCGACAGAGGCACCTGCGACAGAGGCACCTGCGACAGAGGCACCTGCGACAGAGGCACCTGCGGCAGAGGCACCTGCGGCAAAGGCACCTGCGACAGAGACATCTGCGACAGAGGCACCTGCGACAGAGGCACCTGCGACAGAGGCACCTGCGACAGAGGCACCTGCGACAGAGGCACCTGCGACAGAGGCACCTGCGGCAGAGGCACCTGCGGCAGAGGCACCTGCGACAAAGGCACCTGCGACAGAGGCATCTGCGACAGAGGCACCTGCGACAGAGGCACCTGCGACAGAGGCACCTGCGGCAGAAGCACCTGCGGCAGAGGCACCTGCGGCAGAGGCATCTGCGACAGAGGCACCTGCGACAGAGGCATCTGCGGCAGAGGCACCTGCGACAGAGGCACCTGCGGCAGAGGCACCTGCGGCAGAGGCACCTGCGGCAGAGGCACCTGCGGCAGAGGCACCTGCGGCAGAGGCATCTGCGACAGAGGCACCTGCGGCAACCTCTCAAACTGCGGCCGTGGCCACGCGTCTTACAGCCGTCTCTTACATAACTGGACCATAACATTACCTCAGCAGAGCAAGATGACAAGAGTCTGCCGTGACCCACGGAGATCTTGCGGAATGATCACTCACAGCTGTGATGGGTACTGTGATGGGTACTGTGGTGGGGACTGTGATGGGTAGTGTGATGGGTACTGTGATGGGTACTGTGATGGGTACTGTGATGGGTACTGTGATGGGTACTGTGATGGGGACTGTGATGGGTACTGTGATGGGTACTGTGATGGGTACTGTGATGGGTACTGTGATGGGTACTGTGATGGGTACTGTGATGGGTACTGTGATGGGTACTGTGATGGGGACTGTGATGGGGACTGTGATGGGTACTGTGATGGGTACTGTGGTGGGTACTGTGATGGTCAGCAGTATTTGAATATCGGAGCCAAGATTGAGGAAGACGCTCTCATTAACTATAAATTCGAGAGGTTCTTGATAGCAAGATTAAGCAGTCGTAAATGTGTTTATATTGCTGCCGACCATCAACATCTCAGCTCTACAATTCGCCCAAATTTGTGCAGTTATTGATGTCGTTATTGTTGGCGCCGTAAGGCAGTCGTGGACATGTAGAAGGAACCCATCCTTGGCGACAGTGTCCTGGGAACCCTTCGTCCGTCTCTCTCTCAAGACATTCTGTGTTACCTTCACTACTCTCCCTATTTCTTCCTTGGCTGCTACCCGCAGTGTCTCTCCAGATCTCATCAGCCATTGCTCTCCTTGTTCTCTGACGCCCTTCACCTTCACTACTCCATTCGTGATAGAGTCCTGCTTCGAGTGCCCAGCACTCTCACCATCACAATGACCTCGGAAGACTTTCAAAGTCGTGGCAGCGTTGTGCTCGTTCATGCTAGGCTCCTGCAGCCTCTTCTGAACACGGTCACTGCCTCTCAATACGTTCTCCAAAAATCCTGGCAAAGGCAGAACATTGTAACTAAGTTTGTCTGACTTTAATATACGGTGGCACTGTACTGGCACCCCGCATCAAGTGGCTCCCGGGCATATTGTGGCACTGTATTGTAGAGGCATTCCTAACATATTGATCATCTACCCTCCATCAGTCACCAGTGACGCCAATATATTGATCATCTACCCTCCATCAGTCACCAGTGACGCCAATATATTGATCATCTACCCTCCATCAGTCACCAGTGACGCCAATATATTGATCATCTACCCTCCATCAGTCACCAGTGACGCCAATATATTGATCATCTACCCTCCATCAGTCACCAGTGACGCCAATATATTGATCATCTACCCTCCATCAGTCACCAGTGACGCCAATATATTGATCATCTACCCTCCATCAGTCACCAGTGACGCCAATATACTGATCATCTACCCTCCATCAGTCACCAGTGACGCCAACATATTGATCATCTACCCTCCACCAATCCAATAGGTTCTTTGGGCATGATTTCCCTTCTCTAAAGCCATGTTGGGGTTTGTTTACATGCAAAATTCTCTCTCCTGTGTGTGTACTCACCTAGTTGTGCTTGCGGGGGTTGAGCTTTGGCTCTTTGGTCCCGCCTCTCAACCATCAATCAACAGGTGTACAGGTTCCTGAGCCTACTGGGCTCTATCATATCTACACTTG